GTAATTGATGACAAGTCTGGGAGTTCCTCTCTCAATCTCAGCAGGTTTATTAACATAAAAAGCAGAGCAAGACCAAGAACTCTTGCTTTTCCTAATAAGATTTTTGTCTAAGAGATCTGTAATCTCTTTCTGACAATAATGAAGGAGTTCTTCATTCATCTGAATTGGTCTGGCCTTAGTGGGAATCTGGGTGTCTTTGAATCCTGATTCATAAGGGAGACTGACAATATGTTTTTTCCTATTCCAGAAAGCGCTGGGTAGGTCAGAACATATAGAAGTTTGGATTTTGTTTTAAAGGGATTGGATTTTCTTTTGAAGTGAAGAGTTACATAATTGTTTTTCAATATTAGCAAAAGAAACTTCTTCCTTTAAAAAGTTAATCTGATTAACTTTGTTTTGAATAAAATTAATATTTTTTGTAAAGGGCTTATTAGAAAATTTGAAGGTTATTTGTTTCCCTAAATGTCGAGTGGATATACCATCTTTCGAAATTTGCAAAGGGAAAAGAGCCTTTATGAAAGGTGTTCCCAAAATAACTTCATTTTTTAAATTTTTAACAAGAAGAAAGTTTGTTTCAATCTTAAGTTCTTGATTTTCAATTACAGCTTTAGAAAGTTTATAATTAATTTTTAGTTTTGAACCACTAGCAGTGCTGAGTTTTTCAGAGGTTTTTTCAAAATATTTTGTAGGAATTAATCCTTCTAAAATACAATTTGAATCAGCACCTGTATCAAAAAGGGCCAAAGTGTCAAGAACAAAATCATCAATAACGATTCTGATATTAATATAAAATTTTTGTATTTTGACCTTGTTGATCAAACACATAAAAGTTTCTTCTGGATTATCAGAATCAACCTTTACAGAATCATTATCCTCAGGAAGTTCTACTTTCTCAATGTCAGAATCATCATCTAACTGAGAAAGAATAACTTGATGAATTTGTTGTTGATCTTTGATTTCTCTAATCTCTTTCTTGAGATTATTTATCATGAATAGTGGTTGGTTTAGTACTAGTATTCTTTTCTAATCTTTTAAAAATGTCTGTAATATCAAATTTGTTTGAAGTAAAATATTCTTTAGTTTTAGGTTTATTTTCTAAAACCTCTTTGAATTTGTTTAAAAATTCTTTTCTTTCTTGAGAATCCGAAATAGAGCTTATAGCTTCAAAAAGAAGATCTTGTTCTTTTGTCAAAACATTGATTTCTGGAGTTTCATCACTGTCAGAAGAAGAAGCTTGGTCATCATTTTGAATTTGGTTGACCTCTTCTTCAGATTCTTTATTAGAATCTTCATCAGAGGTATTAGCCAGGAGATTGTTGATTTGGTCCTCTAAAGAAGGCTCTAGATTGAGGCTACCAATCTTTTTCTTTAGCCTGCAATACTTACTAATATGGCCAGGTTTACCACAATTGTAACAGGTTACGCCTGTTCTGGGTTTTTTGGGAATATTGGTGGGGATGACATTATCCCTTTGTTTCTTAGGACTGGGTTTTCTATTGTACCTTCGCTTATAGGGCTTTTTGTAAGGTTCTACAGCCTCTTTCTTAGGGGCATGTTTCTTCCTTTTTGGAGAGCAGGATGGAAGACCAAACTGTTCGCAGAATGAACCTAATTCTTTCTTGCTCAAAGCTTTTTCTTTAGCAAGTTATTTTTGGAGTTTATCTTTCTGGCAGGCTTTAATACCGCTATGGATAATGATAGCAGTAAGCTGACCATAATCATAATTATCATAATTGATTTCTCCAGTAGGAGAACGACCTCGGAGTTTACTTCTAATAAGATCTCCGAATGCTTTAGGAAGACCATCAAGATATTTTTCTTTCCAATAGGCTTGGTTGCAATCTTCCCTAGTAAGGACTCTAGACATAAAGGTATCTTTATACCACTTGAAATGTTCTAAGGAATCACATTTGAGTTTTGAAAGTAACTCACCAGATCTCTCTCTCCAAAGAGAAGGATCACCTAGGAAATGTTGGGATATTGTGTATAATAACGTATACACAGCATCAGGGAGATGCTCATTGTCACTGACAATGGTTTTCCCTTTATCATTAATTTTAACTGCAGAGAGAATGTTATCTCTGTCAGCTTCAGTGAGATAATTATCCCACCAACCTTTGAGTTGGCCAGTAAAACCGGCAACGAGAATATAGACAATGGTGTCTTCAGGCATATTTTGGTTAGTAAAATAGCCCATAGCGACAACCGACATATTTTGAAGTTTGGCAATGATATTATATTCAGATAATCCATCGATATTCCAAATATAAATATCATTAGAATTAAAACTTTGAATAAAATCTTGTTTTTCTTCTAAAATAAGATCAGGAGCAGTAGCTCTATTATAATAAAGCTTGGAAGAATTTTTCCAATTATTGATTGGATTAATGGCTAAGACAGAGTCTGTTTCAGAATAATGTTCTGAATCAGCCTTAGAGATGGCATTGATAGTTTTGGCAAGAGACCTAGTCCTGGGTTTAGCACTAGATTCTTTAGAGGGCTGAGGAGTGTCAAGAATGGTAGTGAGGAGGCTAGTAATTTTACTAAGCAACTCGTTTTGGTTTTCCTCATTTATTTTGGTTTTCTCTTTCTGCCTGAGTTCTAAGATTTTCTGCTTAGCTTTGGCGCTGATCTTAAAAGGTTTAAATAGAGGTTTTTCTAATTGTGGTTGGGAGGATGAAGAAGCAGTTTCTTCAATTTTCGGTTTGACAGGATTAACAGAGATTTTCTCACCTAAAACCTGAAGGTATTTATTGGTATAATTGGCCTGTTCCATGAGGCCTTGGATGTCATGAGGAGTGATAGACTCATCAGGATTTTTAGACTTAAAAGGAGTAGCAGTAACAGGGTTACCGCCTTTGTCTTTCAAATTAGGCAATTGGTATTGAGATGTGGGCGGTAAATCACTTTGGACTATTTGTCCGTCTTTGATTTGCCAGGTTATAACATTAGCAGAGGAGGTACTAATAACATCTTCTTACCAGGGATAGTTAATATTATTTCGAATGGTATAAGCATGATACCAATCAAAGAATGGAATATTTTGTTTGACTTTTTCGAGAAATTGATAGAATTTCTCTTGGATAGCATACCTGTCTTTTCCCCTATAATTTTGAAAGAACCACTCTCTTTGAGGTTTCCATTCCTCAGAGTAGAAATCTTTCCTAAGGGTTTCCTTATCTATAATGAATTTATGAGATAACATCATAAGACTCATTAAGGGAAGAGTAAGTTGGAGATTGGATACTCTGATTTTCGTCTTCTTTTTCAGAAGTCTGATAAACATTTCTAGGAATCCTAGAAGAAGTGTCTAAACCTTGAAGATTTAGAGAGGGGTCATAATTAACAGACCTAGGAATATCAGGTCTAACATAAGATCTAGAAGAAAAAGATCTTCTAGCAGAGACAAAGTCAGATCGATTACTATAAGCATCGATCCTTGAGGAGAAAGAGTTTCTCCTATCAAAGGTTATTTCAACCTTTCCAGAATTGTCTTGTGAGATGTCCTGTATTTGAGGAGCAGGACGAGGAACACTGGGTGAGGCTTTATCCATCACCCATTTTTCTGGGAGAGTAACCTCATCCCATTTGATAACTCTAAGTAGAGAAACATTAGCCTTTGTCATATCAGTGATAAACAAAGTAGTTTCTCCCTTTTGAGGCTTGAGAAGGACTCTAGAAGCACAAGAATTCATGACCTTATACTGAATCCTATAGATTAATGCGGCGGGAATAGATCCATCTTTCATGTCTAACCCATGAAAGCAAATATTGAGAAACAAGGAGTCTAGGATGTGTTCATCCATAAGACTCACAGTTTTGTTGGGAAAACAGTTAAAATAAATTGGACCTTGACCGAGACTGGTTTCAACTGTTCCTATGAGAGAATTATCAAATTTATTATGACAAATATCTCTTAGACAAATTAAGACAGCAGCATCTATGCCTATGTCTATCAATGATTTGATTGCTACCTGAACACATCCTATGTGAAGGTACTTGTACTTTCTTTTATGGTCATTGAGGGAGGATTTGGACAGGAGATGAAATTCTTCCCCTATACCTTTCCCTAAAGGAATATTATTTTCAACAGTCTTGATAATATAATCAGAACTGTTTTTCTTGGGTTGGTCTTCAGGAACATATAATGTATCCTGAGGAATGACTGGGATTGTCCAGTCATCCATACTTTGATTGATTTCTTCAAAACGAACTTCTTCGTCGAAGAGGTTGTGTTTGGGTGTGATTTCAGGAGAATGTTTCTCCTGGTCATCAAAGAGATTGGTTTTAGTTGGAGAGGAGGAGGAGGAACTGGAGCCAGAACGAAAGGAAATGCGAGAGAAAGAGCGTAATAGTTTAGACATAGAATGAAAACATCTGGCTCATCACCCTCATTTGGTTCCGTAACAATACATCTGTTAATTATTTATAACTTATTCAACTGGATCTGGTTATTTGTGGACTTTTTTTTTTTTTTTTTTTACTTACAAAATTCTGAAAATTCTTTTACTATAGCCACCAGCTTCTTATGTTCTTCGTTCTTTTGAATACAGCATCGTCAAATTAGTCTTACTGCCCTTTCAACCATACGGGACTTACTGCTACAGCCCTATATATATATATATATATATATGTGTGTGTGTTATAATAAAAAAAGTATTTTATCCTAAGATTTAGAAATTGAAAACAATATCCTCATTTTAATTCTCCAATTGAATTAAAAAAACAATAAAATAAAATAACGAAAGTCTATGCAATATAAGATTAAAAGAAACTCTATAATATATCAATGCATAATTTGTTTGAGTAAGAAAGCAAATAACAATATACGAGAGGAACATAGGAAAAAAAAACTGTAGTTAAAGTTATTATATGATTCACTGCCAAAGATTAAATGGTAATACTACTTTTAACAGGTGTATCTTTTACAAGAGCAGAGATTTTCAAAGACTCCATGTAATATAGGTGTTTCGAAGCTATTCATCATCCATGAAATCAAGCTACCAAAATGAACTGCAGAGAACCTACACATCAAAGGTGAATAAACATATTGATCATTGCCAAAGGTTTAAAGTAAACATAAATTGTTATTATAAGTTTTATAAATATAAATAGTAAAACCATACTAAATTTAATTACCTTTGAAGTTTGTGAACAATGTCTAGATGAGCTTACAGTACCAAACCTGTTCAACCAACTCTTCAAGGTTTCAGCAATATCCAAAGAAATTTCCCAGCAAAAGTCTTCAACATTTGCATCTTCAAGTAGACCTAAATTGTACTCGAAGGGTTGATGATTACTATTACTAGTAATAAGACGACCGACGAAGGCAAATGAACTAAGATTGGGAGTAGACCTTTGTTTGTCAGGATCATAAGTTAAACGGTTGTACCATACGGTCAGATTGAAAAGTTTATCACTAAACATACAACAGATTTCTGCATCATATATGGTACAATTATCAATGACCAAAGTACTCAACTTGTTACAGCCTAAAAATGGCTTTGCACAACCACTGTCACTTGAACAAAATGCAATATCCTTTAGACGACAATCTATTAACTCAGGAAGGTCTAGAGTTTCGGGAAATATTATTGCTCCTTTAGTGCCACGAAATGAAAGGTTAAGATATTTTAAAGTGTAACATGGACACAAGGAATTAACAAACACAACGTTTCGAGCATAACAACAAATTCCAGCTTCAAATTTGAATTGCTCCACATCATGTGATACAGCATATGCAATGAGATTACCGAAAATTCGACAATGAACAAACCCTTTATGCTCAATAGAAAAATTACGCAAGGCACTAGAATTGTCACGATGGAGCAAAACCTTGTGAATAAACTTTTTGAACAAACTATTCTTTCGAAAGTGTGTGTTGCTTAATGTTAGGGTTGGGAGACTTTTCCAGAGTTCTTTCCATCTTTTGGACAAAACACAAGTCTGAACAGATTCTTTTGTAGTCATAAAGGCCATAATGTATAATAAAATGCAATTAGGTAATGTACTGATTCTATCCATTTTTCCTCCGCTATCACTGTGAATTGCTTTATTCATCTCTGGTTCATTCACTACAATATTTTCCTGCATTGACATCTAATAAGAAAAAAGCTTAGAAAAATGTCTAGCTAAAATTTAGAATAAAATAAACTTAGCAACTTTTATAAAATAAAAACTTCAATCAACGTAAACTTTCTATATGTTGTTCCATACTTCCATTACAATTTCAATTTCATTGTATTATATACTTTGTTTGCAATAATTAGTGAATGTATTTACAAATTTTATTGAATTTGAATAATTTGTAAGGCAATAAATTACGATTCACAAAAAGCCAATGAATGAACATTCTATAATAAGAAAAGTAAAATCAAGCATCTCACTAGTCTTTTAATCACATCAAAAGGCAATATATGATCATGATTCTCAACAATCAAGCATGTCATAATAGTCTCCTAATCACACCAGAAACCAATGAATGCATTCTAGAATAAGAAAAATAAAAATCTTTGATTCACAAATCCAATCTCTTTCCAAAGTCAAATATTTTCATACTTAATTAAAAATTTAAGTCAATGTTATTGAATTTGAGCCAATTAATTTGACCAGTGAACCATTGAACCAGCTTGATAATTGATTCGATTGATTCATTAAATTGGTTTTGAATTTAAACTGGTATGAACCGATTGGTTTTGAGTTTAAACTGGTGACCCAATCAAGCAAATCTGAATTGGACGGATCAATGAATTTTTGCTTAAAAAAGGATGAATGAAATCTTTGATTTGATTATTGCACATGTGCCTTTCCAAGTTTGCTTGGCCATAAACAAGATCTAGACTGAAAAATAACACATGAGAATAATCTTTCAGAGCTTGGACTTGTTAGTTCGGCACTTTCAGATTAGAGCGTTGACCTCGTGCATCTTGCTAGTATAGGGAGAAGAAGTACTGGAGAGTGGACTAGAAAGAGTAAAACACAAATAAAGTGGTAGATGAAAAAAGAAAGCACCGAGTCACAAAGAAAGCAAGGGATTTCCAAGAGCAAAGTCTAAATGTCACTTATTACTTCTGAATTAGTCGTCTTTTCTAATCTTTTTTAATATATTTTTTAATTGAATCAATTGTCATTTTCAACACAAGCTTTGTTATGCAAGCATCCACATGATAGTTCATAGGGTCTTTTGACTTATTAAATGAGTAAAGGAAATATGTTAATTTGTAGCAAGTCAAGGTGAAGTTAAACAAACACCATAGCAGCCTACTTATTGTCAAGCCAAAAAAGAAAATAAAATGTCATAATTACTCACAAGTTTTCATGGTCAGAAAAGAATTTCGCCCCTGTACCTCAAATATACAACTAATTACACTCTAAAATCACAAACAAGTTATTTCTATAGTTAATTAGCCCTCAATAAAAGGAATTGCAACAAAATCAAATTTATGAAATGAATCAAGCACTCCACAAATCTTAACACAAGACCTAAAAAAAAAAGTTTTGGAATGAAAACCTATACTTTGAAGTGACAAAAATTTCAAAATTCAGACGATAATAAAAATTGATCTAACTAAATATTTACATAAAAATAATTTCAAATCTTAGATGTCGTTAATTTTGAAGAAATAATAAAAAAAGTAAAGATAATTAGACAAAGTTTGACTTACAATCAATTGATGTGCAATGAATACTTTCGATAACAACGACAGCAGGAAGATGAAAGAAAACGGCGGTAAGAAAATGAAAGAAAATGATAAATGATATCAAATATATATATACAATGTCTTGAAACCCTAGAAGAAGCAAAATAAAATAAAAGGTTTAATTATATTCAACTACTAAAAATTGCCACTGGTTGTTTATATATAAAAAAAAAAAATTTACACAATTTTAATATAATCAAAAGCCTATAAGACATGAATAACTTAACCACGAAATAAGTACGTTGGGCCAAGTTACTTTAACTCACATGAATTCTTGTTAAGTTGACTAAATTCAACCTGTGAGATAATGGGCTCAAGCCCATGTTAAGTTGACTAAATTCAACCCGTGAGATCATGGGTTCAAACTAAATTTTTGTTTGTTGACTTGATAATAATTATTTCAACAAAAAATTACAAGGATAATTTATGTGAGAGAATTTCTTTTTGCACCTTTTTTTTCCTTTAAATAATTCATTAAAAAATATTTTTTAATAATAATTTTCATAACGATAAAAACAATTTTTTTTATTTTTTTTATTTTTAATTTTAGTGCAAAAATTTATTTTTAAAAATCATCAATAATTATAGGAATTAATTGTTGGAAGTAAGAAAAACTAATTTTTGGAAGTATAAAATTTTATTTCTAGAATTGTTTTCCCAAAAATAGTTAATAATTTCATATATTAATTTCCAGAAGTATAAAAAATTTATTTTTGAAAGTGTAAAATCTTAATTCAGAAAATTTATTTTTATAAATTTATTTTTAAAAATAGTTAATAACTTCAAAATTTATTTTTTAAAAGTGTAAAACATAAATTTAAAATTAATTTAATTTTGAAACAAAATTTAAAAGTGTAAAATCTTAATTCTAAAAATTTATTTTTTAAAAAAAATAATATTTCAAAAGTTAATGTCTAAAAGTATAAAAGTATAAATTTAAAAATTAATTTTCAAAGTGTAGAATCTTAACTTCAAAACCTTATTCTCAAAAAAAGTATAAGAGTTGACACGTGGACAAAGATGTCATTTTAATAGTAAGTGGTGATGAAAAAGAAATAATAAAGCTTATAATTAGAACAATAAAGAAAAAAAAGTAATCTAATATAGATAAAATATAAAAATAAAAATAAAGAAATTTATAAATTATTTAACTTCAATTTTTATTTAATAATTCAAATTTTTGTTTGAAACATTTTAAGAAATAGTATGGTTGTGTAAAAAAAATGCAAAAAAAAAGAAGATCCTTCTAAAAGGATCAAATTAACTCTTCTATCAACTATAAAAAATTATCTATGTTGATGTAAATGTTTTCTAATTTTATCTCTTAATCGTCAATTCTCTAAAATTTACAACGGTTATTAATATTAATGAGCATACATGCATACTTATTTTATGAATATGTGATAAGACAAAATTTATGTTAAAAAAGTAAATTTAATATTAATCTCCATTTAAAAAAAATCAAGAATCAAAATAATTTTTTTAAACTATGACATGCAACAAAGAAATAATTTTAAATTTAACTATTTTTTTAATCATTTGTTCAATCATAGCCAAATCTCATAATTAATATTTTTTTTAATTCAGAGTATTTTTTTTTACAATTACAATTAAAGGAAGCAACATCTTTAGGTAATAACTATCATTAATAGAAGAACAAAGAAAATAAAAAATATACATTTGAAGTGTTTATAAGTATAAATAAATAGGTTAAATTTTGTATAAATAAATTTTTTTATTTAATAATTTTGAGGTTTAAATCTCACATATTATTTGTGATAAATTTTTTATTAAATTTAGTTTATTTTTTTTTAAAATGCTAAGAATATATAAAATTTAAATTAGATCTTTGTGAAGAGTTGATAAGGTAATATTTTGTTTACTAAAATTTATCTTTTTTAGAAAAAAATAACCTGACTAATTGATTTGGCTACTTAGTTTTATTCGGAGACAATTTATCTTAACTATTCTTCACTGTTTAATAATCATTTTTTAAACAATTGATTTAGGTTGTTTTAATCTATTTTTAATGTAGTAATTGAAATTTTTAAAAATTTAAATTACATTATTTAAATTTTCATTATTTTAAAATATTTCATTTGGATAGAACAATTGAATTTCTTTTATTTTAAATATTTTGTTTAAATAGAATAATTAAATTACTTACATTTTTAAAAAATAATATCACTATATTTAACCAAATTAATAAAAATATGAAATTTAATTATTAAATTAATCATAACTAAATAAAAATATGAATGGAACACAAAATAAAAATAAATTTAAACTCTCACTCTTTTATTAGAATTTATAATTTTTTAATTTTAATCTTTTAAAATTTTACTTTAAAATTAAATATTTAAACCACAAATTTTAATGCATAGATTTACAAATTCTTTGAAAAAAATGAATTTTTCACTTAAATATCCCATTTAAACATATTCTAAAGGATTCTTTTATTAACATCAATAGAATAAAAAAGAATATAAAGTGAAAAAAAAAGACTTTTATCTTATTTTTTATGTATATTAAAATAATAAATTAGATACATTATATTATATTATCTTATCTATTTTTAATTCAAACCCTTACATAAGATAAAATTTATATTAAAAATAAAATAAACTTATAAAATAGACTTCTTATATTCCGTTAGTTAAACATATTTTTTTTTAAAAAAATGGTCATCATATCCTATTCTCCATTTACGTCTTTAATGATTATCTCTTTCTCACATTAGCCTTCATTAAGACCTTGTTTCCCATAACTTTCAAGCCTTTTCAAGGGATACTAATATCTCTCTGCTTCTGCTGTAACAGGTAAAATATGTTCATACACAGTAGAAACATAAATAAAAATGTGCCAAATGTTACAACAATCGGACCTAGCTAGTATTAATTAACAAATATATATTAGCAATACTAGTCTAAAACTTATCATCACTGACATTAATGACCCTGCAGACCCTACCATCCTTTTACTTTATTAAGAACTTCTGAAACCCTCAATGTTATCATGAGCTCACAACCATAAGCCGTTCTATACTTGCTTTGAAATTGGCCATGAACCTGATGGTCAAGTACTTTACCTAATTTCCATGTTTTAAATATTCTAACACATTATACTAACTATATGGTTACTTTACAAGCGATGTTAACAATATACCTTTGCCCACATCTCTTGGGGTCTATCTATTACAAACCTATAACTATCGTACAGTGTTATGTAGAGTTTTCTTCAAATGATTTATAGCTCTGTGAAAAATATATTTTTATCTTA